TCTTTTTTCTAAAGATGTTTGTTATTATAATTATGATTAGCAGTATTAGCAGTAATACTATGTTAACAGTGACTAAAGCAACATTATTATTATCATTATTGTTGTTGTTTTTAAATCATTGTAATAATAATAGTTTTTTATATTTATATGATTACTGTTATTATTAACACCATTGTTATAAAATACAGTATTATTATATCATATAATAATATTACTATTTAATATAATAATACTGTGATTATGTACATAGTCTTTTATAATACTATCATTAAAGTTTTCAATAATAATAATAATAATAATAATAATGTATTATACTTTACCATGATTGTTTTTTGACATTATAGCAAATTCATAAGACTACATAATTCTTATTAACATGTTTTATTTATAATAATGATGCAATTATGATTAGCAGTATTAGCAGTAGTACTATGTTAACATCTAAAGCAACAACAGCAATAATAATAATACTGTTGTTATTATTATTGTCATCATTATTGTTGTTGTTTTCAATAATAATAATAATAATAATAATAATAATAATAATAATAATAAACAAAGTCATACTGTAGTGCTTTTCTTCAGCCACCTGGGGGAGCTGTGGAACTTCTGCAGGTCTATATTCACTTCATACTCTTAGAAAACAAATGTGTTTCTATTGTTTTATATTACTGCACTAAATCCAGACTAAATAAACGCTTAATAACACAAACACGGCGCTTGATGTGCGCAGAGATGAACTGTTTCCTGCACCTGGAGATGAAGCTGTTACTGTAAGACTGAACTCATTTAAAAGTCCTTTGTTTTCTGTCATATGTTGTGCTAAATAACACTATAATTAGATTTCATGATGTAATCCTGATCAAATGTCTCTAAGTGACAGTTCTGAAAGTGCTGGTCAGATGGATGACCATGCCTGTGTAGTGTGTGTGGGGGGGGGTGTTGCTCCATATGGAGATGAGTGCTGTGTGTGTTATCACCCTCGGGACAGAAGAGTGCTAGATAAACACGCTCTCTCTGTGGATGGACGTGTTCATTATTGATCCTTATCCAATCAGAACTCCCTACAAACCCCCACAGGAGATCACAGGGGTCAAAACCATCACCGCTTTCACAGACCACAAGGACGGTCATATTTAGAGAACGTGAGAGGGACTTGACTTTAACAGCCCTTTAGTTAAGCATTATTTAGGAACAGGGTCAGTACGTAAAGAGAAAAGGAGAAGCAGCTGTAAGGAGGAAAATTTATTTACAAAACAATAACAACCCCCCCCTTTATTAACCACTCTGAGGGTCTGTATGGGGGTCCACACTTCAGTTCCTCACTCTCTTCATCTCATCACTACAGAGTCATGATGATAATATGTAATAACATAATAATAAATCAGTTAATAATTATTCAGAGTAATAACAGATTAATAAGCCTGTAGTTTGAGGGGTTAACTGTTAACCTAAGATCCATTTCTCTGTTCACTTTGACCAAAACCACATTTTTCTCTAAAGCAGAGCTTTTTTACAGAGAAAGGTGAAGCAAGCAGCTTGGAAACCATCCAGACTGACATCTGAAAGACATTTTAGGACACGTTTAAAACGTTTAAAACGTCTCTGTAAGGCATTAACTAGTGAATCAGAGTTTTCACAATATTACTAGATTTGAGAGAGAGAGAGAGAGAGAGAGAGAGAGAGAGAGAGAGAGAGAGACAGAAAGAACGATACAGAGAATGAGATAGAGAAGGAACGAGAGAGAGGGATAGAAATGAGAGAAACAGAAATATAAACGGTGCAAGTGAGATAAAATAGAAAAGGAGAGAAAAGAGAAGTGAAAGAGAGGATATAAAGAAAAAGTGATAGAACAGGAAGAAAATGGGAGAGCATTTAAGAAGCAGACGAGACAAGAGCAAGAGAGAAAGATAAAAAGAAGGAGACAGTGATAGAGGAAGGGAGAGAGAAAAGGACAGGAGAGAGGGAAAAGAAAGAAAGATAAAAGAATGAAAGAATGAGAGAGAAAGACAAAGACAAAAGACAAGAGAGAAAGAAAGATGGAGGGAGAAAGGCGATAGAGAGAGTAATAGGGAAGAAAGAGAAAGAAATGGAGAGGGGGAAGTGTGTGAGAGAAAGAGGAGGAAAAGAAAGGGGGAGTGGTAAAGATAGATAGATAGATAGATAGATAGATAGATAGATAGATAGATAGACAGATAGACAGACAGACAGACAGACAGATAGTTAGATAGACAGTCTCTCAGACAGTTCAGTGCATTAGAACAGCTTCTGTGTTTAAGTGCTGTTTCAGCTTTTATGAGCCCAATAAACTCTGACCTCTGTGTCAGTCACAAGTCAGGAAGCAGGTTAAAGGGTTACTTTACTGTTTACATCACCAGCAGATGGAGATACACAGATCAGGAATGAGACGCAAACCAGGTTTAATGATATACTTGAGAATAAAAACAAAGATAATTTTACTAAGTCTGATAACCATGAACCAGCAGCCTCTTTAATAGGTCACAGTGGAAGTGACCTGCTGCTAGAGTCTCCTCACAAAACACTGACCAGGACAACATGTGTTTACATAGTATTAATGTACAGTAAACAGTACAGTTGGTAAGTAATAATAATGATTAATCATATTTGTGGAGATCAGATAACTTCACAAAAAATGAATGTAAATCAGGGGTGTCCAGACTTTTTTAAAAAGGGGCCAGATCGGACCCTAACAAAATACCTGAGGGTCTGTCACTCTGGGCCAAAATAGCACTAAAAAATTATTAAAAATAATATTTCAAAAAATTATTTCAGAACTGCACTCCTGCCTGGACAGATTCTCTTTACAATGCATTACAGATGCACATCAGGCAATATGCTGCAATCTTTCCTTTCTCCTGCTGGTGGCAGCAGTACTGCAATCTATTTTTTCTCATTTCACTACACACACGTTATCTAAGCCGCTTATCCTCCTGGGTCGCAGGGGGTGCTGGAGCCCAGCAGTCAGAGGAAATCCACGCAGACGCAGGCAGAACATGTAAACTGCACACAGAAAGGACCCCGGTCGCCCAACCGGGGAACCGAACCCAGGCCCTTCCTACTGTGGAACGGATGGAAAACAAGTCTGATACGTCAAAGAGATTTTAAGGTAGTTCAATAATTCTTACATTTATATTTGCAAATTTTGAATTATTAATATTTTGAATCATGAATACTAACTTTCCACACAGTGACCGACCCTCGGGTATTTTGTTAGGGTCCAATCTGGCCCCCTTTGGAAAAAAAGTATGGACACCCCTGATTCATATTCACTATTTGTTATCTGATCTCCACTTTTGAAATATGATTAATCCTGGACATTAATTTTATTATTACTTTTATTATAAAGTCTCGATACTACACAGCTTTCTCAGTGATTTTAGACTCTTCCACAGCTCTGTTTGTTTCTAGACACCTCTATAATTTCTTTATTTTTTATTTACAGACCGTGTTGTACTGATTATCTGAAACCTGTGAAGCTGAAGAGGACGAGCATCTTAGAATCATTTTATGCAATCATTTTATATACAAATTGCTTTTATATTAATGTTTTAATGCTTTTAATACTTGCTGAGAAAAGATTTATTGATGCACTGTATGTCCAAAAGTAGTCAGACAACCTTTCTAATTAGTGAATTCAGCTACTTTAAGGTGCGCCAATTACTGACACGGTGCACACACAGCTTGTATAATCTCCATAGAAAATCACAGACCAATAGAATGGGACGATCTGGAGCAGCTGCACATGAGCTTATGGTCACCAGACCCAATGCTAAGAGTGGGCAAGGGGGGGTACAAAGCCCCCCAGCTTTGGGCTGTGGAGCAGTGAAACCGTGTGTTCTGGAGTGATTGAGCTCCCTTTGCGATGAGCCTGAGTGTCTTGTGACTGAACGCAATCAAATCCTCACAGCAATGTCCCAACATCTAGTGTAAAGCCTTGTTACTACAGCAAAGGAGGAACAAACTCCCTATAAATTCCCTTCATTTCAGAAGAAACACTGGATGAGCAGGCGTCTACAAACTTTTGGACACTTAGTGAATCGTAATAGGTTTAATACCAGTCCATCCCTGTAAGAGACCGAGACAAAGAGCCAGCGATATGTTTAAAAATCACATCTTTATTAATACCTCTGTTGTCCAAAGTAATATAAAAGATCGGCAAGATCCTACATGTACAGAGCATAGTTTTTTGCTTCAAACAAACAGAAACAAAAATCTACTTGTACAAAGTGAAAAAATATCCCCTGCAGTGACTGTGCCATATATTGTGTCAGCAATAAAGAAAATAATTCCTCTCCATTTCTCAACAATAGTCTGTGCAAAGAAAGAATATGCATACCAAACACACGGTGTTACTGCTACATTAAGGCAAAGCCCTATGAGTAATACACTTAGGAAACTCCTCGGTAAAGTGACAGTGTAGAATAGATTTAGTTTATTTTTTATTATTTTTTAACTTTTTTTTCTCGTTTTTCCCCCCTCACACATCTCCGACAAAGCTTTTGTGACAGCTAGCATTGCACAGACTGATCCTCAAGAATCCTTTGCATATAAAAAGAACTTTGCTAGTCAACCAGAGCTGAAGTTGGAAACAGTACGAAAGCTTCAAACACCAACACACATGTTCCTTCTCTACTTTTCCACTGGTCCTCCTGCATTTGGAGCTCCACCAGCACTGAATTTCCAAAAAAAATGGACGATGGAGAATGACCACGTCCAATTTTCTGTTCACAAAATCCCTCTACGTCGGCCTGGAAACTGAAAAACAAATACTGCACGCTCGGTTCCACTGCAAATCAAATATACTGAAAGTGGAAAATGCCACGATTAAAAACAAAAGTACATAAAATGCAATTAAGGGGAGGAAATAACCCTCAAATGTTCTAAAATGTTCACAAGCAGGAAAACAAAACCAAAGGTGCATACACTTGTTTGAGCTTCATGTATGATATGAATCAGGAGAACGTCTTTGAGAGAAAAAGGATTTTCAGATTTTAAAAGAACACGCAGCTGCTTACCAGATCAACTGATACAGATTAAATAAAAGACAAAAACATACAAACAGTAAAAAGTTGGCAGGTCTCTTCATTGGTGTTTTAAGAACACATGTTGTGGTGGTCCGCGATGAACGCCGAGTCGTAGTAAATAAAGTAAAAGCTTTTGTGGAAGAGTGCTGGGCTGGCTTAGGTCTGGTAGATCTTCTCGTTGCTGGAGAAGTCTTTGCTAGTGCAGGTGTGTGGGGCCATGCCACGGTGGATGGGCTCTGGGCTGCTGCTGCCTGTGATGGTCAGGTTTAACAGGCTGGTGCAGGTGGGCAGGTAGACATGCTGGACGTGTTCCACCTCTGATCGGCATACTGGACACGACTGCAGAGAAAGAGAGAGACAAAGTTCGCGGGTTCAGAACTTGTGTTGCATTTAAAAGAAACATATATGGAGCTCAAACAACGTCCCCCACCACATTGAAGCTGGACTAAGTTTCGGGGATTTGGAGACCTCTCTGGTGGAAATGAATTTGGTAATTGCAAGGGCGTTCAAAGAGAACTCTTTTTGGTGAAGGACGTGTCTTCTGAGGATGTGAGTGAATTATCTACTATTTTTTAATCACATCTTCGTCAGTATAATGTTAATTAAACAACGGACAGGATCTTCTTCCTGAGCCTTTGTCTGTGATGTTAACATATAAAGTCATATAACTCCCACGAAATCAGACCTGACACTTCTGACTTTAAAATTACTGCGAGCTAGAGGGTGATGATAACGTTTATTGGGATGATTCTGCAGACGATAACATTTTGCCTACATTTACATCATCGTCCAAGCTTAGAACTGACTGCATAAACAGGACTCTAGAATACACAAGAATGGTGTCAAGAATGGTGATATATTATTGCTTATTTCAAAAGAATAGTTTGAAATTAAAATGTATCAATGTAGTCGATTAGCCAAGACATGTTTGGTGTCTAAAGTTTGCTTGTTTAGTTTTGGACTGGAGCTACGAGGCTAATGTGGCTTTAAAAGTAATGAAAACTTGTACTCTGCTAATTAGCATGGTGCTAACTGTCATAATTAAGGCATCCAGTTTGCACAATGCATATTACTGAGGTATGAGCTTCCATTACTTGTTTGCTACACTGGCATCGCAGCTCAAGTGGCTGATCGACTGCATTTATCAAGAGAGAAGTTGGGTAAATTTTACTTTTTTGCTGAACTATTCCTTTGTGTCAGTGGAGGTCAAGTGTAGTGAGTGCGGCTGCCTTTTCAGCTGAATAACTGTCCCTGTGATCTGTGGTATGAGTGCTGCACAACTGGGGCTGTACTGCTGCAGATGGTGAAGCCGAGCTGGGGGGATTAATCTTTCCTCTGGTCTCGGTTAATTCCCCCCATAATGAGCGGCTGATTTTTCACAGCCGGGTGCGAGTGGATGGATTGAGGCTAGCGAAGCCCGTCTGTTTTTTAACATGGTGGTCTATGTGCTTTATTTCTGTTGCCTGTAGTAGCACGATGTATTGTCAGATACAGCTACATGCAAAAGTTTGGGCGCACCAGTCAGATAACATATTTTGTTGATTTTCAAACTGGAAAGTTAACTAATCTACAGAGAACTTAAAAACGGTATTATTCTGTACATTTTAGTGTGCAATTTCTATTTATTTGTTGAATTTAACATATTGGGGACAAAATTAAACATAACATAATAATATATTAATAATAATAATAATAATAATAAAAATGAACAATGACACAAAACAGTAGCATCAACAACATTCAAGCCTGAATTAGTCCATTTTTATAGACAACAATGTGTCAGTGTCAGAAAGCACATCTGTTACGATGCTGATTTAGTTTTCTCTAAAATATTCCTTTAAACAGTGTGCTCGTGTCCTCACCTGGAGCTGTTTGGCGCAGTTCTGACAGCAGACCATGTGCCCGCAGGGACAGAACGCTGCATCTATCTCCTCCTCGCAGCACAGCATGCACAGCAGCGCCTCCCGAAGCTTCTGCAGTTTCTCCTGCAGCGCTCGGCTCTGCTGGCAGCCGCTGCAGTCCAGCGCCCCCTGCGAGCCGTGCGAAGGCGAGTGGGAGGACGGGGAGCGCCCCCCGGAGCGGGACACCAGGTCCACGATGCCGGCGTTATAGAGAGCCCGTCGCGCGTAGTCGTACACCTCCTTAGACGTGCGGCGGATGTCGAAGACGTATTTCTTGCCCAGGTTGATGTTTTCGTTGAGGAAGAGCGAGGCCAGGTGACCCTTGAAGTCTCGGCTGTACTGCATCATGACCGCATTCGTCACCGTGTCGCATCTGAGGAAAACAAAAAGGATTCATCGCTAAACAAATTCCTTGTTAAAATCATCAGCATCATTTTTGTTCCTTCCCTTTTAATTTTTATTTCATAATGGTCACATTTTTCATTTCCTTCCCTGTTCATTATTTTTAGTTCTTGTATGATTTTAAAAAGCTGAACTACATTTTAAAAAGGGCCCATACCCCACATTTTTCTTGTATTTAATTTTTTTTTCTTCCAAGACCTGCTGTTGACATTTTTGTGGGTTTCTGTACCAAAATTAGTCCAGATTCATGTTTACATGACCATTTTTTAACCTCTATTTATCCCTGGTTGTTTTTGTTGCTGTGCTCCATTCTGATCAGCTGCCCTGTATTGTGCTTCATTTGAAAAGCGTCTAGGGTGAAACACTCCTTATAACTTCAGCGCGAATAGGCGGAGCTAAACTGCTATAGGCTGAATAGATGGATATATGTAAATGCACTGGTTGTCATGACCTCACAAAAACAATGAATTTAAAGCAGGCTGTTTTTGCAGCTTAGTACCTTTATGTAGTCTGTAAGAGTTACGCTTTAAAACTTTCACAACGTTTACAAACCACATCAAACTTACTTAACCAAAAAAGTGAGTAAAGTTCGGTTTTGCATGATATGAGCACTTTAATGTACGATAAAGCTATTTAAACCTTTTTCAAGAATGATATTGTGATTATTATTATTACTATTGTCAGTGTCCTAACTTAGCTGATGTTTCTCCAAACTGGTAACGTGACTGAACGTCTTGTTACGTCTCCTAAGTGATGCTCAGTCAGTATCCAAACCAGATATGACGCATCTCCCAACAGGTCATTTATCATTCAGTGGACGCTCAAAGCGCTGATTCAGCCGAGCCGATCTGGCAGCCATTAGAGAACGTGCTTGTGGAGAGGTGCTGTGCTGTACGTGTGGAAATACGAAGGGAAAAACTGCAGATAACAGTTCAAGCACAAAGAGCACTGAGTGCAGCTGAGTAATGAGAGCTTTATCTGGAGCAGAGATGATGAGGTAGCAGCACAGAAATCACACACTAACACACTTCCACATGGCCCGACTCTCAGCGCAGGTGGGTGTGTGAAAGCTTTTCGGCCGCTGTTAGCCGGCTGACTCGAACTGACCACAGTATTGCATAATCATTCAGATGAGTGCAGCATGGCCCCTCATCACAGGTTCATTTACTAGCTTATTTCACTGATCCTTCTGAAGCAGAGTGGCCTATAGCGAGTCTGGGACTGGACAACTCGGGATTATTATATCTGTGACCAAAATGACCACGGTTTATGGTATTATAGTGACACTTAAAATATACTGAAAAGGCATGAATCATCTCACTAGACGTTCTCCTATTACTTTTTGTTTGTTGTTGTGTTGTAACAGTCAACTACAAACAAAACCCAAAAACTTTTCACAAACTAGCAAATTTCTGAAACAGCAGGTCCAGCACCAGGATAATCATGAGTGGGGCTAGGGGTGGGCAATATGGCAATATTTAATCGATATTGTGATACATAACAATAGGCTTATATTAGCATATCATCGATATAGTCAGCACTTAAAGAACACTGACCAAAAATCATGGAGGGGCTGAGGGTGGAGGGGGGTCGGGGGTGCAACATATCTAGAAATCTACAGTGGATCTGTTCAAATAAGCCACACATTAAGGAGGGAAAATCAACAGGAAAACCATGTTTACAGCAAATCATTACAGGAAATCTGCCAAATTGTCTTGCAACAACATACAGTGCGCCTTACAATTTAGCCAGTATAAACTAATGGGGTGGGTGTGTAACATACATTACTACCCCCCCCCAATATAATACATACTATAAATTGAATACAGTTAGATTTTATACTGTAAAAATATTTGTACAACATGCTGACAAAAATAGGAATAAAAAACTGAAATGGTATTGTTGGCTTTTATTACGCAGTACATAATTTTCTGTGGTTCACTGCAGATGTGAGATCTACACAATAAAAAACCAAAGCAGGAAAAATACTGATATCTTTGAACTTTGGTGTTGGCGAAGGCTTTGACAGAACCTTGGACAGTAAAGAAAATAAACAAATTGATTCTTGACTAAATCATGTCTCGCCTCTCTTAAATCTTAGATAACCAAACTGATGCTTTTATTCCGGACATTTTGAGAATTCACTGGAAATTTTCATTTAACTGGAAAGGACTGTTATGCTTGGAACAGCTCAATGTAAAAGAAAAAGATGGCCAGAAACAGGACGGGTGGAGACAATCTGAGGAATCATGAACAAGCCAATAACCCTGAACCATTAAATCCATCCCATCCCTGCTTAGAGTTCATTTAATTTGTGACCCGTCTTAAAACCTCATGTGTTTGCTGGTTTATGGACAATTTGGATTAAAAAACAGGATTGCTGTGTGTGTATTTGCAGAAAATCAGCATCCAGAAAAAGAAAACACGAAAGAGCGAAGCATAATCCTGTATTTTAGAGAGGAACGAACAAACGACTGTGGGCAGAGCACCCACCCTCGCAATGGAACAGTTCAAACGGCTGACTCAGTCGGTTTGCAGAGAGAAACTTGATATTGTAATGAGCACGAAAGCTCCAAAACAATGGAAAATGATAAGGGAAGAGATCCTCCTCATCCAAACTGGAACAATGTACACAGTGCAGAGATTAATCCTCGCCAGATCGGCTCAAGAAAAACACCCTGACCCATTTCACCACCAAGCCCTGCTTGGTTAATGTGTAAGGAAGCAAACACATCCAATAACAACAACACTGCATTCACTGCCAAGCTGTGAGATCCAGGGGTGAAAATATAACCCAGAGAGAAATGGAAACTACCGCGGGCTTGTCCAGCAGTGAACGATGTCACGTAACGGCAGTGCTAGCCGCGGTTACCTGATGTAGAGGCCACTGGGGTCGCACGCTCAGTCTTTACGCTGGTGTTGCACTTCACTGAGCAAATATACGCGAGGGGGCATTCAGCAGCACAAAAGCACACTTCTGTAGCGTTTACCTCCCGTACAACACCGAGACAGGCTCAACGGGCAAAAGGTCCACTGCTGCAATTATAATACCACTCCTACCACTTTAAAGAAGCCGTATGAGGTTTTAGAGTTAATCATCTATATAGTCTTCAGTTTGGTTCTTGTTCAACATGCATACCGCTAAATCAAAGGTGCTGTACAATTGTTAAAACTCAAATTTAATGCAATTTTAATGCCTCTTCAAGACCTTGACAGAAGGTCTCACCCATAACTTAAATGCCCCAAAACTTTATGGCACGTATTAAAGGGCCCATATCCTTCATTATGCTCATATTTATTATTTTCCTCTGAGGTGCACTTACAAAAAACAGCCATAATTCATTTTTACATGACTATTTTCCAACCGCTCTTTATCCCTTAGAAATCAACAGGCTGTTTTGTGCCTTTAAGACTAAAGTATGTAAACAAATTCTGTTCTGATTGGCTGGCCTGTATTATGCCTCATTAAAAAAGCAGTCAGGGCTGAAACACCCCTTATAACTTCAGTATGCTGCAGGCAGAATAGGCAGGTGTATTTGTGTGATGTCACAAAAACAGTGAATTCAGGCATGACGTCAGTCTTTTCCATGTCTCTAGCGCTTCATCATTAGTCAGCTTCTGACCACAGGACCGCTGACAACTGGATATTCTTGGTCAGCGGACGATTTTTAATTAGTTTAACTTACATAATGTCTGTTTTCAAACTGGCTTTCAGGCATTATCTTTGGATCTGATATCTCTAAGAAGAAAAATTAGACATTTTATAAACTTTAGGACACTTTTTAAAGGGCCTGTATCACTGAAAACTTAATTTTCCTCCTATTTTTTAATAAAAGTATGATGCAGTATATAAACATTGTTAGTTTCAAAATGAATTGTTCACCCCCCAGTCCATCTATGGAAAGCTGTTAAAAAAATAGCCTGTTTTGAATTTGTTGTTTTAAAATGTATCCACCTTTTCAGACTATAGCAATTTAGCTCCACCCATTCACTATGAAGTCATAAGGAGTGTTTCAACAAAGAGCACTTCTTGAAAGGGTGACAATACAGGACAGCTCGTCACAATACAGCTCATTCGCAAATAGCCTTAAAGGTGCATTAACAAAATAAGATAAAAAGAACCTCCACATTATGTGGAGGTTCCACATTATCTTCCACATTATGTGGAGGTTCTTTAAACTTTACAAAGGTTCTGCACACTCTCACGCTCTTTTTTGTTTGGTAAGTTTCCCCTCAGGGATCGATAAAGTACTAACAACTATTTATCTATATAAATAGCAGCCTGACCTCATTTCTGCGGGTATGCAGTGAGTGTGACTCACCTGTAGAAGGCGTGCGTTTCTGTGATGGCCCGGTACAGTCCGCTGGCCGCTCTGTTGCTGATCAGTTTAAATAGGAGGACCACACTGTCGCTGGTTTCCTTGGTGACTGTCAAGTACACGCTCTTCCCCGACTGAGTGGCTATTTGTATTATGGGATAGGATATCCTGCAGAAAAACAAACCCACAGCTTTAGTCCGATGCAGCAGCAACAATATCATTCATGAAAATTATTTGTCGTTTGTGTTTTGGTACACAAAGGACAGTCTAGAAGTTGATTTCTAATATGCCAAACCTTAAACGCTTGCAACCTAGCACTAACATGGCTAAACAAAACAAACATTCATATTAATACAAAAAAAACCCTAAAATCTCTTGCTAGTCAGAAAATATAAAAAAGCACCCTTAAAACCACCTGAAATGAAGCTGAAATTTCTCTTCAAAAGACATCATTAGTACTAGAGATGATTAATACAAGCCTAATACTGATCAATTCTTTTGGAAAATTTGTCTGAAACTGAAACTCCGAAAACCAAGTGCAAGCTTTTAATTTGCTTTTTAATGCACCTTTGCAAGTTATCACTTGTGCAAATGTATATAAAAAAGAGAGAATAGAACGATGCAAAAAAGAAAACAAACTGTCTTAAACCATCTTAAATTTCTGATTCTCATTACTGTTTAATTGATCTGTAAAAGGTTATATTTCTCTAAAAGAGTGAAGAAGCTATAAGTTTTGGTTAGATTTTTGAGGAGGCTTTTTTTAGTGGCACGTCTGATTGTGATGGATTAAACTGTAGCTCTGACATTAATCCTGTGTGTACACTGCTCACATTGATTGACATGAGCCTGAAGACTCTGTACTTTGTTCTGTAGGTGTGTAATTATCGGTATGTGATCTTGACGCCGAGTGCTCTCTGCTCTGATTTGGCCGTCAGCACTCAAGACCAAATTCTCATGTGTGTGTGAAGAAGGCTGTACAGAGCGTGGTGCTGTTTTTGTACCTGTTGACCAGACTGAAGTCCTCCCTGCAGACTGCGATGCCCTCTGGCCCGACTCCAATCGCCAGCCTCTGTCCCTCAGCGTCCCGGGCCCAGTGCCACTCCACTCCGTAATGCTCCAGAGATGAGACCAGCTGCAGAGCCTGATACTCCACTGAACCCTGACTGACACCCTCCAGAGCCTGGTGTCGAGCTATTATACTGAAAACAAAAAAACAGACATACCCAAACAGCGTGAGACGCTGACCTATACTCAGACATTTACTATACATAAACTCAATATTTACTTTAGGTTCATAACTGGAAACGGACAAAACGCACCAGCAGTACAGCAGCACCACACTTAAAAAAGGCTATGAAAAACTGATTTAACGCAGGCTGGTTGTTTACAGGCTCTCTATAAAAAAAAGGGTAAATCTGCTTTTATGATACATGCAGCTGTGCAGTGTTCGAGCTGACCATCCACATGATGTACTCAGAAAAGGGCATCATGATGTGATTTTTCCACAATAATGATAACATATCACACTGGCTGCTGCTACACTGAACTACTACTATGAGCAGCAGCGAGTAAAGGACGTAACTGTTATGGTGAAGTATGTTATGATAATTGTTAAGTCTATTATTACTGTTAAATATGTTGAGCTCAAAACTGTTCAGCTATGAACAGTTAAACAGTAAACTATTCCCTTTCTAAGCTTTTGCACTTAATCCAGACAAGTCAAACCTTCAGTTAAACAGAATGGAATAAGACTATTTTCAAATAGTCATGCCTATGAAAAAAAAAAAATACATTAGAATTACTAATAAGGAAATTAGCCTCTCTGTAAGAGTGAATAACCATGAGCTCAGTGCAGTTATTTGGTCTAAACAAATCATTAAATAGATAAATAAAACAAATTGTATTCACTTAATTCGATTATTCCGCACATTTACATTCAAATCAAACAGGGTAGAGTCAGTATAGACTTTGTTACTGCGACAAAGTTGAATTGTTAATCAAACAAAACAAACATTTCAGTGCAATTTGTTTCTCTTTGAATCAAAATACAGAGCTTTCATTCATTGAAATGTACATTCATTATTTTTTGTCCATCCTTACATTAACCAGGTACAACAATTCATTTATTTAACGACAAAATATTTTCCGTTTCTAAGTCAAACATTTTTATTGAGTGTAGAAAGACTGCTACAGTCATCTGACAGCTGCCGCACAACAGACGAGAAGCTGATAGCATGAAGTGCAGATATAGTGCATGTCAAGAGTTGCAGGAAAGTTGCGATCATAAACAGCTCGGGCTCATTTTTTATTCTTCTCATACAGATTCAATGTAATAAAACTTCCAACACTGTTTAGTGAATATATATCACTTGTGGCATCGACTCACTACAAAGTCTACAAACATCTGCTGTTTTCAAGCGAAAAGGTATGAAGTGACAAGTTACGAGGTGATGATACAGTTAGCTGAGGTGACAGATGATCAGCATGAGTCTATTTATCTTATAGACTTCCGATTGGCTGCCTTTCTCAATGTAAAATTTCAATCCACATCACCTACTATGACTTTGTGGTCTTGTTCCATCTTTGGAGTATCATTCGAATAATGGCTTACAAATTCTAATATCAAATCTGACTGAAAAGCCCATCCCTGGATTACAGATTAGTGAGAGAACATCTAAAGAGAGACAGACCGAGAAATAAATAAAGAAAAAAAGAAAGAAAGAAATGCGGCATGTTGACAAGCTGTTTTCTTTGTACCCTCGAAAATCCAGGAGGTGTTTAAAATAAACAAACCACACACACACACGCGCGCACGCACACACGCGCACACACACACGCGCACACACACACGCGCACACACACAGCACTACATTATTCAGACTGTTCTCCATCTCTCTGTGCACCGTAGGCAAAGCTCCAGCCTTCCCAGTCAGCATCTTCTGAACATCTGCCCTCGAACAGTGTTAGAGCAGACAGTAAAGAGCGCAAATCATTCCCAGAGTGCACTGCACGCACAGCTGAGTCTAAGCATATCTACAGCAGCTTCAGATTAACACACTAATCTCATCAGAAGCAGCAGAATCAATCCCTACAGCCTATAGCATAACTGCTGAATTCAGCGGTTTCACTTTTAAGCCACTTGCCTTTAGAACCCAGGCCATGCTTTAGCAGCCTATATTCTAATAAGATACACATAGATTTCAATTACTGAATTTAGTGAAGTGGGTCATTTAAATCAGATTAGAGCTTCGTCTTCAAGGCTAATTAAACATTACAGGCTTTGTCTTCTTCAGGAAATTACAAAAAGGCACATATCTAAAGGGCATTTGAAATTTTGATAAATGAATGGTAATTAATCAGAAACAGAATCAGAAAGGTCATTCAGAGTGATGTGAAATGCTCTGTTTAAGAGAAACTTCCAGTCAAAATTGTTCATAATGGTGGTGATAGGAACCAGACGTCTGAAGAGTTTAACGCCTCTGAAAGCTCCCTCACAGAAAGTCATCACATTAAATGGTTACGAATACACTGCCTGAATTTGGCTTAACCCCCTTTTTATAATGCAGGGTGGAGTGGTACATGTAGTTGGTTTGGAACCAGATTTTTCAGATCTACCACTATTTTGTGATCAAAGTCACATATAAAAACTCAGGAGACGTTTGTGTTCACTGGTAGTTTTGGATGGTAAATAAAATGGCTATATTTGTATTAAAATGGCTATGCTTATATAGACATAGACAGGGACCCCTGGTTTCTATCACCACCACTGCAAAGTTTTCTCTTGTTAAGTTTCTCTATATTTCACATCAAACCTAAATGACTGTTTAGATGACTCAATGACTGATCTGTGAAAAAACTGGGGGAATTCCCCTTTAAATAACGTCAATTAGTACAAGGGCTAAACACAAAAACAGAACCAAGAGCTTTACAGAGGAGACAGAGGGGCGAAAACAAAACCTACTAGTATCATTTATACCAGTAGGTTTTGTTTGTTTGAAGAGGTCCTAACAGTAATAGAAACACCAATCTTATGGTCCCATAATCACCGAGAACCAGGAACATTATCTAGAACACTATAACAAGGAACAGAATTCCTCGGTTTTATAACTCATCACTGGATATTCAGTGTCTAATAGGGTCCGTTGTTTGTCCACTGCTTACTTAAGCATGCTGAGCGCACTGAATATTCTCCACTATATTTCTGGACCACTACAAAACAGCTACCTCTCCAAACAGTCCACTTTATAGTGAATAAGTCACAGTTTCTGTCCCACAGCTTTAGCAAGCTGACTGTATTTATGTAAATGGGTCGGGACTCTCTCAACGATTTCAACACAGTTACTGGCAGCAACACTTCTAAAGACAGATTTCATTGCCTTTTTTATATCAGGGTGACTGCAGCCCTCCTGACTGCTGTATTATGACTCAGTGTTTGCCTTTGTGCAAACAATGTGCCAATTTGTTCAAAGAAGTCATTTTAGGCTCAATTTAATACGAGAGCAAATCTTAAAAGGTTATTTACTCAGAGAGAAACCAGATTAATCCAGAAAGGAGTTATTTGATTGGGTCATATATTACCTAATCAAATCTTTTATAGCACCTGAACAATAAGGGTTTTTATAATAAACCCAAACCTGACACGACCAGGCTGTTTGCACAAAACACTTATCGGGCAGAGAGCTTTATGACGATGTGGCGCTGGTAAACACCGTTGAGCTTGGATGGCCGTGTCCTTTGACCTCGCACAAACAAACTGTTGCTGTCTTTGGCTCGCTCCCAACAGCCACTGCTCCAACGGAGGATTCACCCTCAGAGCCAGGCCGATAAATCAGAGCCACATTAGAAATGGCAAATCTTTAAACACATTCCAACCCAACATTGTCTAATCTTTAAACATTGGTTGAACCAGTTGTACCATTTTTTTATATTTACAGTGCCACTGTTCTCACCACTTTCCAAAAAAGGGAAAAAAGCAAAAACACTTCAACTGTTCCAAAAGGTCAAAAGCATTCAGTCACAGCTCCTCTTGTTAATATATGTTGATTACATTTTTCAATAGTTAAAATCAGTTAAAATCTGTTTTTATTTCTGATACAGCATTGGACCCAGCGATCTAATTTTTGTCTACAGTTACAAAAGGGAAGTAAAATGTTGGCTGGCTGGCTAATCTTAGCTAATTGTCTTCTTTTACAACTTCCTTCATTTAACACAAAACTCTTCATTAAGACTAAAGCTGTAGCTAACATATCCTATTGTTAGTACTTGTTAGCTAGCTAATTTAGCTAACATAAGCTAATCTTCAAGTTAGCGAACCTATTAGCTTATGTAGCCGAAAAACCTGCTGAAATAAACACTAGAACTTCTTTCTGCAAGGCAAATGCTTAAAATTACTCAAATTAATGGTGTAGCTTACAACAACTTAGACTTTGGCTTATTTTCTACTATTGTGAATTTACAGCAGCAGCACTCTGAGGGTTTTCAAGCCTCCACGCCTGGTTTTAGCTGCTCCTATGACTGATCTAATACCAAGTCTTGACTGAAAACTCATTTGACAAACAATGTTTGTCTTGATGATTGGTTTCCAGCATTCTGCTTACTATGTAAACACCAATCTTAATCTCAAAGGGGTTTTCCAGGTAAAACAGACCGTCTACCACAGCTGTTCTCTGTGAGCTTTGCCTCCAGGCTGATCTGTGAATAACTAAAAGCTGACAGAGATGCTAGCAAGTTAGCACTGGAAAGGATTACACATGCTTCCACATAACTACAGGCAGACAGGAAGAAGCTGTGGTTCTGTTTCTGCCACCATCAACATCACAAGTTCAGATGTGCCATGAACTGTTTTCAACTCAAAGCCACAGGTTTCAGGTTTCAGCTGCCATCCTACACCTGTTAGCAGGAGAGCGTGGACTGCGTTTACACTGATAGTGGGGTGTGGTAGTCTGGTTAAGCGAACTGTAGTCCAGAGAAAGAGAAAGAGGTCAGGGAGGAATGCTGTTTGTGTGTCAGAGAAGCTTCAGGAATGTATGTTAAAGCAGTGGAGGTTACATTCGTTCCTCTAACAGCTGGCAAGACGTGACGAATTACGCAGATGAGCTGAACTCCAGACAAGCTAAACTCTCCACCCAGATTAATGTGATATCCCAGTTGGTTGTTAAAACAAAACAAACCAAGTAAAAATCACAATGTGGTCATAAGAAAAACTCAGAAACTGACCAGGAGAAATTTTTTTTTAAAGCAAACCTTAAAAGGGACCATATCATATCAACTAAAAGACAACAAAAACAGCCTGTTGATTTCTAAGCAGTACAGGGAATTTGGAAAATAATCATGTAAAAAATTAATGACTATTTCTGGTACTCAAACACAAGTATATCACTGCTGTCAGAGGAAACTCGCTTTTCAGTTTTTGACATCATTTGAAAGTACCCATGCGCCTCTATATTGCGTGTAAATTTCGTAATGAATGAACCAACAGAAATGACCCATAATTACTTGGAAAAATGTCTGGTTCCACTGACTTACATCAAAAGTAGAGTATGTTTTTTCCTTCTCCTGTAAAGTTCTAATTTCAGAGATATGAGGTTTTGATCAGACAACAGCAATAAATGGACTAAAATTTAAATGCAAAACTAATGTAGGATGTGGCCCATAAGCTTTTTTACATTGACAGATCTCAATTACGGAATCATTTACAGTAGCTACTGAATAATGCATCTTAAGATTAATGATGGAAAAACAGGACTGCAGTTTTAAGGGTGTTTCCTTCTCCTACAAGATACAGCTTTGGAGATTAGAGGCTTTCTTATGACAGTGACAGATAAGCATGGTCACGCTTGGTCACAGTAATGTAGTACCTGTTCACTGTGGCCTGGTCGGGCTCTTTTCCGCACAGTTCAGTGTACCAGTACTTGGCCGTGTTCTGGTTGTAATCTCCGAATTCAGCCTGAGCCAGAAGAGCGCTCAGCTCCACGGCCTGCTCCGAGCCCATCCGCAGATGACCTCGGTGAAGATCCTCCTTTACATGCATGAAAAACAGGTGCCTAGAGAGAGAAAATGAAGAGGAACAGGTGGTTGGTGCTGGACACTGATGTATGCTTAAGGTCAGGCGGTCAGTGAGAAAAGGACAGTATTGCACACAGACTGGAAAAAAAAAAAAATAAATAATACAGCACAGGTGATCTTCACAGGACATCTTCACAAATGACCTGCTCTCTAACAGACAGACAGACAAATCCACTCCCACACATGGACACAAATACACGCAGTGGTGGAACAGCACCCTAATACATAAGATCCATGGCTTATTATTATTATTATTGATTTTTATTTCATTTTTGCTGTGTATTGCATTGTAAAGCACTTTGTGATTTTGACCTGGTGCTCTATAACAAGGGTGGGTGATTCACTATAGCATTGACACAATCTGTATGATGATTTTTGAGGTTCGATAAGTTGGAACAGACGAAGAAAAAAAAACAAAAAAAACAAAAAAGAACCAGCAGTGAAATAAATAAATATATATCATGATTTTAATTCAGTGTTTCAGACTAGGACGTGAAAGAGACACACAGCAGGAAGAGAAACAAACACAACCAGCACAACACAAACCCATACAACCACCACTTTACTACAGCTGAGCCGAAAGCAGAAATGTGTGTTTACGGTTCCTCAGACGGTTGATTTCACTTTTCATATCTACACACGGAGCAGCGCGTGCATGTTTGGTTAGTAAGTGTTTGACTTTCCTCCCGCTGCCTCTCACAGAGCGGAGGGTGTTATCAGCCGTGGAGTGAAGCTGAAGGAGAACCTGCCGCTGTAACACGCCGCCCCAGCAGAGTGCTCCACAGTGATAAGGCTGCGCTTGGCCTCCCTCAACACTATCTGCCTATATTAAGAGCTTTTACAGTCCTACACACAGCATAAGCCCTTACAACACCATTGCAAATGGATTGCTGTAACTGCACTGCTAATGGGTGGTCTTCACGCATTTACTGCGCATTCAGCTTCTTGGAGTTATCTTCAAGCGTTTGTTTCGAGATCAGACACAGGCTGATAGGGAAACTTGCATATTATATAACAGCATATACAACTGATTATAATAGTTCATAATTCAATACAGTAGGTATTTTCAAATGGGAAAAAAAAAAAAATAAAAAAATCACAAAATACTTTTACAAAATAATGTATTCTTTTTATTGTCTATTTTAATACAGTATAAATAGTTCCTGCAGTCACATCTCTGTAAAAATAATTCTAAACTGCTGCACATTCTGAATCCGCCAAAATGAGAATCGGTCATGTTGTTATTTTGATTATGGATGATCTGTGTTGCAGTTTTATGGGGTAAATAACGTCAGATAAGTGCATTCGTGCTGTATTTGAATGCTGCTGCTACACCTACACGTGGGCATGATATCACCATACTTTGAGAGCTTCACATGATACACGATGTGTCACTATAATTATTGTTTGCTGACATCTGGTAAGTTGGAACACAGTGGTGCCACGTTTAAAAATACTATTAAGAACTTGAACATAGTGATTTGTATTCAACGTCTCACTGTGCTGCACTAAATCCAATTAAACAGGACTAATCGTGATCTCTTTGTAATCAAACATGCAGTTGGGAAGTGTGTGAATACTGATGATAACCACAATATGCTCAGAAAAGCCGTATGATGTCATTGTTCATGATAACGATAAGTATTGCCATGCTGCCCAGCCATCGCTACACCGGTACCTAAACGTTTTAGCAGAATTACGCATCACTCATTCGAAACAGCCAGGTCACCTTTTACTTTCAGTGGAGCACTTTACTTGATTCACGATATACAAACAGGCAACTGATTTTCCATTTAAGGATTAAAATGCCAGTTTGGTCCGTTAAAAGAGTAAATAATGCTATTTATATTGTGATTTTGGCCATTTTTTCTATAAAGAATTCAGAAACCAGAATTATATAATTCATGATCTTTGCATCCCTTTTTCTGAACGGCATCAACACAATCAAACCCAGATGAAAATGTAAGATTATGAGCATTGAAACATTTCCTAAAGAACAAAATCAAACCTAATTTCTGAAATCATACCCAATACATATGGCATAAACCCGAACAATGCTGTGACACGAGTGTTCCTGTAATTCTTGGTCTGCTCTTAGCGTTTCTCAGAAGTATCTTCTGCATTTGTTCTAAGATCTGTTGCAGGCTGAGGGGAATTAATACGGTCAAATTAAAGCACTGTGGGTTGTGGGTTTGTCCACAGAGCTGGCAGGGCGGGCCTGCTTTCTTCATGAGAACATACTCTGAAATCTTGACCATTTCCTGCTCAACAGCAGAGAGGCCAATTTTAATTCCTTTTGGTGGTGATATCAACAGCACATTCACATTTTTCTGCTCTTATCCAGCAGGATAACTGATTTATTTACTCAGCCAACGGCAACAGCTGCCAGCTGATCTGAATGGAGGAATTCAGGGCGAGTGATAAATTACAGAGAGAAGGATGAAGAAACAAAGCCAACAGACACATACACTGCCTGTCAAAAGTTTGGCTACAAATCCGCATGTTTATACTGTTAGTTCACAGTAATTAACTCATTAAAAAGGGCTGGTATCTTATGTTTTTCTCAATTTGTATTTTCCCTCCCTGAGGTCCACATACCGTTGTCAGAACAAAACTTTGTATCTCTGAAATGATAACTTTACAGGAGAAGGAAAAAACCTACTTTACTTCTAATGTAAGCCAATGGAACCAGACTTTTTTCCCCCCCAAGTCATTTTAGGTCATTTATTTTAGTCTATTCATTATGAAATTTACACACGATGTAAAGGGTAATAGGTATTTTCAAATTATGTCAAAAACTGAAAAACGTGAAAAATGGAGATACGAAGGAACAGCAATATGTGGGTTTATGTACCTAAACAATTATTCATTTCCACATGACCATTTTCCAACCGTCTCTTTATCCCTTAGAGAAAATGTACATAAATCAGCCTGTTTAATCCTATTCTATTTGGCTGCTCTGTATTGTGCCCCATTCAAAAAGCAGTCTAGGCTGAAATACTCCTTATAACTTCAATGTGAATGGGTGGAGTTAAACTGCTACGGGAAAAAGAACATATGGTTTTCAAGACATCATAAAAACAACATTAAAATGAGATGCGTTTGCTGTTTAGTTTCCATGCATGGACTATATGGACTGGTACAATTTGAAACTAACAATAGTTTACATACTACATCAAACTCTTCATTCAAAAAAGGCTTAAAACTTCTGTTTTCCATGATAGGGGCCAGTTACAGCCAAATCAGGTTTATTTACAGGGAGATATCACGTGTAAATATTAAATGACAGCATTCGTGACTGTACCTTGGAAATACCTTGCAAAAAACAAACATGACAAAATTTCCAAACAAGTGTTCCCAAAATGTTGATGGAAGATGCTCACTTTATTCCTCTCTCCTTTGCCCCTCCACCTCATGTTTGAAGACTGGCAAGATGAGGCAGTGAGTCAGAGTGTGTTTGTGCTGGTTAGTCAGGAAAAACTCACCCAGCAGTTTTTTGTGATCCGCTTCCTCCTTCTCTACCTTCCCACAAAGTATAGATTAGTAAAAAGTCATTGAATTTGTCTCGATAACAGTATGTCAAGTACGCTGATAATTTAGGCATGCAGCTAGCATGATGCTAATGGGATAGGCCTTACTGCTCCAGCTCAATAAGCAAACATCTTAGCTGACTACTAACATTAGGAGCAAGGAGGAAAACTGTAGACTTTAGTTATTCGCTTTACCATCACTTAAATTACAACACATGCTGGGACTTCACTTGTTTAGCTCTATTAGATTTCCACTCTTTATGGCCCTAAAAGGCCATTTTCTTTAAAGTGTCCCGTGATCAAGCAAAGCTGCTGTTTACAGTCAGTGGAACCATTTCGATGATGGGAAGATGAAGGCCAACTGTGAGGTCTCTCGCTCTTTAGCCCCCTTCAGACCCCTCAGAGGCGATGCTTTCTACAAAAAAAAAACAAACCGAAGCCTATCAGCTCGCACCGACAAAAGCTGCGGCCGGATAAATATTGACTTTGGACGAAAGGGGAACGTGCCGAAATAATGGACGAGAAAGAGAGAGAAAGAACAAGTTCAAAACAAAAAACACAAGACGTTGAGGACGCATACTACTCATGCAGGCGTAGAAAAATAAACAGAGCGCTGCGAGACAAAGGCGTTCCGAGCCGAGCCGGAGAGCTACCTCCCCACTTCAGAGAACACAGCTCATGTGATGAGCTACCTGCAGGCCAAACAAAGAGCGCTGTAGAGGGAGGAGGGGGGAGAGGTTACTATCGGTTACAGGCAGAACACATATAGTCATCGCAGTGCTGAGACGCGAAACAAGAGCTGCCGGTTCAGTCCTGCTTTATCATAGTCATCTCTCTCTCTCTCTCACACACACACACACACACACACACACACACACACACACACACACACACACACACACACAAACACACACACACAAACACACAAACACACGCTCCGAGGCAGACTACTTGTAATCATACTTCATCACTTTATGTAATCATACCTTAAACAGAACACACTGAGTGTATTCCAGGGTTACTATAGGTCAAATATATATTTTTTTTCCCCACTTTTAATTGTTAAAATGCAACTTTTTTTTCCAAATATACTATCCTTTTAAGAGGTCAGTGTGAATTAGATTATATATACTTAATATTAATATTTATAATTTATTACAAACACCAGTGGTCCTTTACATTGTGTGAAGATTTCATGATGAATGGACCAATAGGAGTGGTCCAAAATTACTTGGAATAAAATCCCTTTACATTCATTCATTGTAAGAAAAGTATGTTTTTGGATTCTCCTGTAAAGTTACCATTGTAGATATGTTGTCTATAGCTCTATATTACACACACACACACACACACACACACACACACACACACACACACACACACACACACACACACACACACACACACACACTTCACAACTAAAAAATAATGATAAATGGTAAGACAGT